GTTGTCTAAATCATTTCAATCTTGCAAAAGTGGCATAAATTCTGATTTTCACTCATATCAGCAACTGATCCTCAAAACTACTTTGCTGAGTGCAAAGAATTAGCAATTGGTCATGGAAATCTTGTCTTTTAAATCAGCTGTAATATTCAGTTGATTTTCCATTAGAGCAAGAGAAACAGGTAACATTTTCCCAACAAACAGCACATAAGGAAATCCTCAGCTTTTAATTTATAACTTACAGGACTTCTTTAATCACAACCTGACTTCTAAATGGATTTCATTTTGGCCATCAGCTCCCATCATTAGAGTACATACAGCCCAGTGTTAGAGGAGGGGTTTACTTCGGTAACAGCTCTTCGGCTTGGCTATCTACAGTTCTTCCATATATGATGAATGATTTGGATATACCACAAGGCCAGAAGTTACTAACAAAGATGACATGCCAGTATCAAGAGCTAGTTTATCTATGATTTACTTGGAAAAAACTCAATTGTCCATAAGACTTCAATGTCATTAGGTAACAAGGGTCAAGTCTTAAAATATTAAATAAAACAGTCTCAAGGATACTAAAATGAGCTGAACCAGGTCTAGTACTGAGCTATATACTAGTTTGGATGATTAAGAAACTAAGAGTAATTCAAGCTCATGGCTATCTTACCTACTGTCTCTTGAGTGACCAGAGAAAGAAAACAAATCTCTTATCAGTTTGTTTAGCTAGAAAATCCCACTTAAAAAGTAGAAGTTAAAGCTATTGCTTAAAATTGTGGCTTCAAATATCTTTGGAATTTACCTGTTTACACTTGGCTTATTTGTCCCTCTACATTAATAATCAAAAACTGACTGTATTCTCTCATTAGGAGTAAACCCTTAACCATAGTTCTGCCATATGTTAGTAAAGATGCCCTCTTTTCAGCTAGGCCGAAATACAACAAACTCAGTCCATGACTTAATTTAATCTTATCAGCCCACCGCTCCTTCCCTAGGATCCATCAGCACCAAATAAAATAAAACTTCAATTTGGCCTTTCCTTTACATCTCTTATTCTTCCAACACCTCATCCCCAACCTTCCTCCTCCTCTTGATTTATAAGTGGCACCTTGTTCTTTGGACTCCTTTCACAACTAGGAAAATAGGAACAGCTTCTCAGGGTAGCTGAGATCCTCTCGCTTTCAAATCATTTCAAATAGGCATCCTGAAAGGAGTTCTTGGAGAAAAGAATTAAATGTACTAGAAATTCAGAGAAGGGAAGGACCCAGAGACTTTGGCTCTAGGTCTGGCTTCACTACCAAATCTCTAAATTATTTAGACATTCTCGGGGCATTAGTTTTCCCTATCTCAGAGAAATGATAACACAAAGAGATTGCTTATTCAATTTACTGGATGAAAACTAATCCAAAAGTAAAAACATTTATGTTAATACTGGAAATGATTCTTGGACTGAAGAAACTCTTAAGCCTTTGTGAGCTGTTACATAATTATACCCTACGACCACACATTTAATTTAAAATTATAATGTTCACTCAAGGTACCAAAGACTTCCTTTAAGCCAGGCGTGGGCTTTTTATTTTCTTATCCTACTATCATATATATTTACAGATAATGAAATGTCTAACTAAGCAAAATTCTAAAATCTGGCCAGACAGAAGGACTATCCAGTATTCAGAATGCTAACATACAGAACAAAGTTGGGAGAGGAAGCCATGGTCTGTATTCTAAAAAATAAATGATCAATTTAAGTGTTTGGTTTAAAAAAAAAAAAAACAGGAAAAGATGGGTTAAAAGTTTCTACTTAAACGCAACTGTTTTTGAATGGCTCCGACAATCCCGTAATAAGTGCAGTATAAAACAGTCATGGTAATCAATTCAGTGAACTCCTTTCACTGCCAGATTGAACAGCTTTGAGGATAATCTCCTTCACTCTCCCTGGGCTCAGTTGTAAAATTCATTATTTATGCCCTCACTTGTTTACTCTGTCCTATTTTCCAACCATCCAGGCCCAAGGACAGTGTTATCACTGGCTTGTTTCCAAAATGAACGCGTGTGTTCACTGCCTTACTAGTTACAAAACCAAAGATAATCAAACACAGTGGTAACTTAATATTGAAAAGCAACCTCACCTACCACGTGATCCAGGAAAGGCATTAATGACGGTGCTGACCCAGGTTATCAAAAGCTAAATTACCTTAGATGGGTAGAGTGAGAGCCGTATGTCTGTCATTCTAGTTTTTTTTTTAAGCCACTGAGCAGCATATACATTCAACAAGTTTCTTAAAGGGCAGTATCATTAGAAAGGCAGCTCTGGCTCTCCCCAAGAGAGGACCTGTGAACTATTGAGGATTAAACTGATTTAGATGCAGTTTGCCTAGCAACCATTCATTAGGAAGAGTTCAGTAACTGATCAGCAATCAATTTCACCTCCTTATCTAAGCTGTAAATAGATAACAGACTCTACCAAGCTCTCTACCCTCTGGATTCAGACTCAAAGCAAACAACTTCCTCAAAAGAGTCATCTTCCAGAAGTCAATGGGGGGTAGGGAGGGATTAGATACACACAAAATACCAAGTTGTCAATCTAGTACTTAGAGCCTAAGCATTCATTGTCTCTTAAATCTCTCCCGTAGCAGCATGCCTCGGTCTTTTTGCCTCTAGTATTTTCTCACCTTGAATAAGCTTTTCCCAATTCCAAACTTTACAACACTCAAGCTGCTTATTATAAGAATCAAATGATGTCAAGGGTCCAATCTTTCCCTTTACCTTCTCAAGGGGATCATTTTATACTTCTGATGTGAATGTGGGATTGGGCTTGAGTCTCCCTTTAGAGAGAATATAGGGCCCTTTTCCTTAACATATTCTAAATTGTCTCTCACAGAAATAAGCAGGATGGATAAAAACAGACTGTTAAGGAAAATTAAATCAGCCACTTTAACCTCAGCAGCACCATGTCCTCTCAACCTAATAGATCACGGGAAGTCACAGCTTCACATAATTGCTTCCTTGCAGAGGTTGACCAAATCTGAGATTTCCAACCCCCCTTAAATAATATTTAGAGATCAGTACAGATACAATCTATGATTAGTTCTATACATAGCCTTTTGTCTCCTGGGGAAAATTCTCTGGGGAAATCATAGAACCATGCAAAATACTGATCACAAAAATCAGTCAAGAAAATAGAGATATAAAAAAATTAAGTGAGCAAAGTATAACTTTATAAAGCTGTATTAATTGCCCAGGGGTAGACAAAGAAAAAAACACCTAGTAGGAGGGCAACTTGTTTTTCGGCAGAAGCAAGTTGAAGCTGTATATGCTTTAATATTGCCTCCAAGTGGCTATCTGTCATTTCCTCAACTTGCTATAGCTTAGACTTCAAAGTGTACTTTGTTTTATACACTAGCTAGTTGCTAGTGTATAAATAAAAGTTTCAATTAGTGATTTTTAACAATTCAGTCTCAGTAACAGGTTAGGTAGGACAATATCTGGGGGATCCTCTTTTTTTCATTTAAATGTGATTCATGGAGTCTTAAGGGATTAATGCATAATAAATTAAAAACTCCAAATCTGGTAAAGGTTTACCAGTGAATCTACTTTTCTTTTTGCACAATTCTATACTATGACTACTTAAAATATAAAAGGAAAAAAAAAGAAAAGTAAGTTTCTTGACCCCTAATAAGTTTCCACAACTGAGATGGTTTCCTATCCCATTATCTCTATTCTTTATAGTACTTATTTTCACCCCAAACTGCTCCTTACTGGACAGAAATCTATAGATTAATGCAAAAAAAAAAAAAAAACTCAACTAAAACTGTAACACAGCTCCAGCATATCAATTCTGTCTTCAAAACTGAACTCCAGTAGAACAATTTCTGGAAAATGAACCTAGATTACCAGAATGAACTCTCAATCATTTCCATTAATATTTATAAAAGTGTAGCCAAAAAAATTATATCTAACTCTTCTGGTATTCTAGCTACTTGCTCATCAACATGAAGATAAATCTGGTCCAAACATGAATACTATCATAACATACACACAGACACACACACCACATACACATACCCTTTGTTTCTAAAATCATAAATTTGGGGTTTTCTATCCTTAATTGAGAACTTCCCTCAACTGAAAACCTATGAAGAGATTCCTGATTTTGGGTGAAGATGAGTTGTGTCCTTCAGAAACAAAAGGACCCATAAGTTATAGAAGCAAAGGAACTCAAAAAAGATAAATATAATTTAAATTGTAATGCTATGGCTGCCCAGTTTCATAAAGTTTGACGAGGGAAGGCTTTTAAAAATAAAATTCATCTAAATTTTTTTTTAAGTTTTTAGTTTGGTTTTTTGACAACACAAACTAGTCCCTCTGAGAACCTTTGGACATAAATAAACGGATGAAGGAATAAGACTTTCAAGTTTCAGCAACAGCAAGGTAAGTTTGCTTGCTCTAGAGCGATGTTTCTCCAACAGGACTGAGTACTACACAAAGCCAGTGACAATGTACTTGGGAAGAGATTTTAGCAGAGTTAGTCGCTAATAACTACCAGGATTTTCTTTAACCACCATTTGACAGGGGCTGCTCTCTCTTTCCACTAGCACCTCCTTCCTTCTCAGATTGTTTCTGCTGATTAACGCAGTCCCCAAGTAAGAAAATGGTGAGGACAACCTTAATGGACACGGATGCAGTACAGCTCCAAAACCCACTCTTGGTCTGTTTTTTTTTCTCTTTGCAGTTTACTGCATTAGATGCCACACAATAAAGATCTTTTCTTCTCTGTTCATTTTACTACACGACCGACATTGACACATTAGTAAAAAGAAATCAGAGTCCTGAATCTCCTTACCCTAAAGCAGGGGTGAGATGAAGGGAGGGAAAGAAGGATGAAGGGTAGAATTAGAAAATCAAAATAAACTGATAGGATGTGGAGTTATTACTGCCCATTCCATTTCCCCTTTTCTCACAAGGTTAAGTCGGCTCAAGTCGGAGTTGTATTAGAAAAAGCACACACACACCTTGAGCCCTGGAACGGAGGTGAGTCGCTCCGCAGCGCTCGGTGGGGCTCCCGGCTCCGCTCCGCCTGCCTAGGGGCAAGCTTAGCCCTTCCTGGGCTCCCCACCCCTAGGAGGATGGTGGAGAAGGGACCTCTAGGGGCCCAAGGGGAGGGGGAGGCGGCTGCTCCAGGTGCCAGGCTCTCCGAGCGCAGCACTCCGCCGTGCCCCGACACCCCCTCCCCCAGCTGGCTGCCACTCACTCCCCTTCGCCGCCGGAAGCCAGCCCTCCTCCTTCAACTCCATCCCGGCCCTCCGCGAGCCCCCCCGTCCGAACAGCCAATGGAGAGCCAGGGAGCCAGCGGAGCGACCCGCCAAGCAGCCAACTGGGGAGGCCCTCTGGGAGGTCAGCCGTCAGGGATAGGCCAGCAACCCGCGGTCCCGGCCCAGGCGCGGCTCCTCTTTGTTAGAGCTGCCCCCATCTCTCCTGGCCCCCACCCCAAAGCCGACAGCCAGGCGTCCCGCAGTTGAGCCAGGTGATGCCGCGCCCCTTCTCCCGCTCCCCGGCCCACTCTCTGCCTGAGAAGGAGGAATGACACCCATCCAGGCGATACCTCCCGAGTGCCTCAGACCTCCACAGCAGTAGCCAGTGGGAGACACCGATGGTAAAATGATGCTCCCCAGGCCTTACGGGCTCGCCCTTCTTTTCTCAGACTAGTCAACCATTCTTTCTCATAACCGTGCGTAGATTTTGGTTTGCATATTAGATTAACTACACACATCAATCCACGCGGTCAGACTCCAGCTTCCCGTGACGCAGAAATTAAGGGCTTAGTGGTGGGGACGTACTGGGAAGTTATCTGGAAGTTGGTGGGATGGGAGACGGAAAACATCAAATCACCTTCCAAAAACAAACACCAAAAACATACAGTTGACTAACCCAGGTCAGATACAAGACATCTATATCCAATTAAACCCAAGCTAACCACTCCCTTTAGCAGGTTTGAGTACAATCAAGAAGCAAATCTAAGTCTTGTTCAAGCCATATACCTAATATTAGAAAAAACTCAGCAACCCCGCTGCATAACTGGCAGGTTGCATCAACACTTCAATCACTAATGCCAATGTTAGGGGCATAACTGTTGGGATGGAATATTCTGAAGTACACAGAATATTTTCTTAGGTATAATGAGGCTCATTCAAGGGAAAAAAAATAAGGTCAATGAAGGCAAGCTATTACCTTAGATTGTCATTTTTGTCTACAGAGTTCTTTCAGCTAATCTTAAGCAGATCAGTCTACAATTCCACTTAGTTCCTCAAATACTACTATAATTTTTTAAATAAATAAGTCCCTTTCTTGTGCAGAGCTCAAAGCATTTCATATCTATAACCTCAGTCCTCTTAGAAGATGGAAAAGGAGCTGTATGACATACCCATTTTAAAGCCAGCTCTTTCTTCTAACCCAGTTAAGACTGGCTTAAACAGATTTATAGAGGAACTTAAGTGGTGTCTCATAGGCCAGCGTTCATTTGGGTCCATGTGAAGAGAACCAAATGTGAAAATCATTTTATTTTAAATTCTGCCCATTAAAGTCTAATAGATTAGCTAGCAGGTGAGTCTAGTCCCTCCCGGTCTTCCGACCTAAAAGAAAAATTCTCAAGAGCACAAAACAGTTACAACACTTTCTCCTCATCATTCAATTCTCTGGCATTTTCCATATTAAAATAATTAAACTTAAATACTTCAAGAAGCTGCTGTTTTAAATAGCTGACCTAAAAGATACTCTTGATGTCTAAGGGAAACGTCTATGTCAGTACATTCCTTTAGACTCTAGCCTTCTTAATAAAAGCAATTTTCTTTGAAGAATTAAATAGAAACTAAACCTTAAAACTTTCCAAGATCACTCAAGCACCAATTAATTTGCCAAGACATCAAAAACAAACATACCAGTCTTGCCATTTTTATCACAAATGTTCTTGACAAATGAATAACACACACAAAAATTCTAATATTCTCTTCTAAAATATAAAACAAGAAACTCTTAAGGAGTTTCAAATACCTTAACTGAAATTAAAATATCAACAGCATCTTACCAAAGTATCTATATAGTCTGAGAAACCAGAGGAATTATAACTGTTTGATAAAAGATCACAAGGGTAATGGGGTATCATGATTGGTGCACATGGTCTGTGTATGGGGTCACAGGGAAGACAGCATAGCTCAGAGAAGACAAAGAGGGACTCTGTAGCATCTTCCTACACTAATGGACAGTGACTGCAATGGGGTATGGGGCTGAATGTAATAGCCACATGGTTTTTCTTGTGAAACCTTCGTAAGAGTGTATATCAATGATACCTTAATCAATCAATTAATTAATTGAATTTAAAAAGATCACAAGGGTAGCCCAAAATATTTCTTCCTAAAGATGAATGCAAGTCCAATTTCTTTTTATGTCCCTCAAATGCACTCTTGTTATCTTATTTACCACTACCCTTACCACTACCCATGTCTGCCAGGTAACTATGACTTCTTTCTAGTCTCCTTCATTCCACATACCATGGCTTTCATCCATTTGTTCTTGTTAGAAGAACTACAGAAACAGTTCAATTTATTGCACATTTACTAGATGCAAGGCCCTGTGTCAAAAACTATGGTTGGCTGGTTGCTTTATCATCATAAACCTATGAAATAGATACTTCCCCCATTTTTACAAATGAAGAAACTGAGGTTCGGAGAGGCTGAACAATCTGCTCTAGGTCACAGCTGGTAAATAGAAAAGTCAATATTAAAACTTACACCTTCCTGGCTCCAAATCTAATACTCCTATTCATTATGCTGTATCATGGCTCTCTGGTGCCTATGTCATCCAGCCAAGTTTTCACTCAATGGCTTTTACATGTTCCATAATCTGGCACTATCCTATCAAACTTACTCCCTACCTTTCTTCAGCATGTTTTCTCCACACCAGAAGGACTGATTTGCTTGCTTACTGTATGTGTTTCATGTTCACCATTTCTAGTGTCTTGCCATGACTTGTGCTGTTACAACTATTCCATTTAAATCCTATTTTTCAAGGCCTGGCTCAGATTCCACCTCCCTTGTAGGCCTTCTTTGATGCTGTCAACAGTGATTCCTTTTCTGAATCGTTATTACACAATTTAGTACTTAATTGTTCTGTTTTCTAATATGTGGTTTGCCTAATTTAGACTGTAACTCAGAGTTTATATTTGCCTTTGTATTTTCTCTCTTCCCAATTTTGCAGTGAGGCATACATAGTAAAGTCCTCAATATTTAGAATAGTAAACTTTGTAGCAAAAGAATGGTCCAAATCACTTATATCACCCAAGTTCTCGTAACAGCCACCAAAGCTGATATCATTAACTTTCTTCATTTATTTTCAAGACAGAATAAATAACCAAGTTCTAATTCTGCCACTTTAGTACTAAGTACTTATCCACTCTATGCTTCAATAGTATGGAAAAACCGATAGGAGGGGCCTCAGAGGGTTGGTGATGTTTCTTGTCTGGGAACTAGTTATATAAGTAGGTTTAATTTGTGAAAATTCATTGAGGGGTACACTTATGGACACTTTCCTATATGTATATATATATATATTTTTTCAATTGTTTTTAGCTTTTTTTTTTTT